TCCGAACGGCGCGACGCAGCCACGCCAGGTTTTGCCTAGCTGTAGACAATTGAATAGCGGATCGCTTGGCATAAAAAGATTAGATGCACTTTATAAGGCCGCTGACCTAAGGCAGGTCAAAGTCAGGCCATGGTTTGAGCGAAGGCAACTTCTAGGGAATCGTTCAATATGATGCAGCAATAGAGTGTTAGACGAAGCCATACATCTCTGAGATGCTTTCTTAGGCAACACAAATATTGAATGAGCAAATTACGTTGACCTAAGGTCAGGTATAAAGGTCAGACCAAGGCCAAAACCAACCTGTTTTATTACTCTAGGGCTTGCTGTATGTGATAGTTTCTTGTGTTCATTTCGAATTTGTTGATACCAGGAACCGCATTACACATCGTCCATGGATTAATTATGACTCAGAATAGGTCATTAACCTAAAATGACCTAGGTCAACATTTTGTTTTTAGAAACATACTGCCTAGCATAATTTTTCCCCGTTATTCAAATGCAAAACTCAGAGCAGTCTTGTATGATTTTGGTCACCATGACCTTCAAAAGGTCAAACAAGGTCACTGACCTTAACTGAACATGTGACCTTTTGCTAAGAAACAGTTATCTAGGTTCTGGGGCACTTTAGAGACCAACCTGGAATTTGACCTTGTTTGACCTTATTTGACCCGAAAGTTATGACCTAGAAACCTCAAACTTTCACCTAAGTGAGTTCACGTACAGGCCAACACACTGTGAATTTGGTGTCTCTAGTCTTTTAGTTCCTGAGATCTCAGGAGGTTCAAATTGATCCCTCACCCGAGCGAAGGGTATCTAGCCGGCCACCCGGGCGCGTGATAAAAATGCAAACAGAATAGATTTCACGGTAGCTTCTGGTTTCTGTTCTGGTGACAACGTAAAAATAGCAATGAAACGAAGAAAACCGTATCCCTTGTAAACAAGTTAACTATACCCATGGCTATTTTTTAGGGGGATCACCATGTTTTCAACCATTTGTTCCTCTTAGCAAGGATCTGGCTACCCCCTGCCTACACACAAAAGCAGATCAAGTCATCTACGTTGAATGACGGGCAATTAAATGTCCGTTGGACCAATTCATACCTAAAGTAGGCAGCTTACCGGCGGCATTTTTCTGGGATGGTGTGGTGTAGGGGAAGATAATTCGGAAAAAGGTACTTTTGCAGGTGTCCAACACATGTTTTGCACCCCAATTAGCAGTGCTGCATCGCAGTAGCAATGCTGAACCATCATACCATTAGTTCGCGGTCAGGCATTCGGAGACAGCCGGGCCTGGGCAGTGGCCACCGACGGTGGACGGGAGCGGGGCTCAGACAAGGAATATATGACAGGAGGGCCTTCATTCTGTGGCCTGGTTTTCAAAGAAGAATCTTCAATTCTATGGCTTTTGTCACATGGTTTTGGCAGTTTAAAGCTTCCGAATTCGTTTCCGCCTAAAATGCCGCGACAAGTCTTATCTCCTGAAAAGCAGGCAGCGAAATGAAGGCGCATGCAAAATTTGTGGTGCTGTGAGCTATTGAATCACTTTCAAAACTTCCACCAGCCTATGCTCAGGCCATATTTTGGCAACTGCCCTGTGGATACAGACGCCTCCTCAATGTCCCAAAATGCCTACCCGCTCGTGACATTTCGGCTCCCCAGGAAAGACAACGTTGAAATGGACGAATAATTTTGGGAAGCTGGATAGCCTTATTTCCCGGATGACATGGATGATTCGCATAGGCAAGAGTGTACACCAGTGGGAAATAGCTCTAGATGCATATATGGAATAGCTGTCACTACATTTGAATAAATAGCGATAACCACCACCACTACCCTCCTCCCCCCCCCCCCCCCGGTCATCGGGCTTGTTTTCCAGAAAAAAGTTGGTGAAGTACGCCCTGAGCTTGCACCCCCTTCCACTTTTTAAAACGTTCCTACGCCTGTGATGTCTGATACCACTTACGTCGTCCCATGCCGCACGAAGGCGTTATTTTTAGCATCCAATCCTTGGATTTTGGATTTCGGCTTACCAAGGTACACCACTATGTTCTGCAGTCGGGTTCGCACATAACGCATCATCTGTGTGTGTGCAACTCCGCTGGTGCCGCTGATATACACTAGCAGCTATTCCTACGGAAAAGGTTTTCGCATCAGCGTCTGCACGTTTCCTGTAGGTGGCGACGGCGCGGGTCCCTTCCCGCTGACGAAAGCGCTCAGCTCGGGGTCGCGGTTACCGCCGCCAGCGCCAAGCGCGCCACGTGCCGGTTGATACCGGTTCGTCAGTTGGGACCGGCAGTTGCCAGGTGCCGCCACCAGCCTGCGGTAGATGTCACTGCGCCGCTGCCAGGGCGGCCGTCAAAACGGGCTAGTGCCGTGACTGCGGCCGGCGCCGCCGATGTCGGCGCCGACTCGCCGAGCGCACACCGGATGAAACCGGTTCGTCGGTTGAGACGGCGTCCACTCGGCGCCGCCACCGGCGCGACGTCCAAACTAATATTGCACTACGTATTTGCCCTGAGGTTGGTGGGGAGTGGACGTTCGGCAGAGGCAAGGGGAGTCAGGGGTAGCGATAACAAGCCGGTGCAAAGCGGTGGGGTAAAGTGAGTGCACGGTGGAAGGAGGGTGGGGTGCGGGGACGACGATAATGAATCACCGAAGCAGGCGAACGGTGCATGTTTTGGAACTGAACTTGCTTGCCGTCACCTTCGATCAGATATAGGAATAACAATCAACGATGCATTATTTTCGAGGAGCGTGATGCTATCACCGAAGCCGCACCAGACCACCATCGACGTTGAACCCATTGGGATAGACATCGGGAGATGGAACGGGCTTGCCGTCATTCAGATGGAGGAATGAGATGCATTCCTTTTCAGGAGCGTGGTGTCGGCACTGCCGCCGCGCCAGCCTGGCATCGGCATCACACACCCTCTCGATGAGCTGTACCCTCCCTTCACCGTTTCATCCCGCCTCATCGCAAGGCGTGTCAGGGGGCAGGACATCGGGGCATGTCATGTGACATGCCCCGTCACACCGGGAGCGTGCCGCGGAAGCATGAGGGCTTCATGCTTCCGAGGGCATGATCAGCTTCATGGTCACACTGGCGACAGCGCCGGCTTCGCACACACCTTAGTCGGATTTCAATTTCAACATCAACAACCTTCAGAAAAACGGCGAGCAACATGGCTTGAATCCAACGGTAGATGTCCGGATGTCAGCCCGCAACAGCCCACGGCTGGCGGTCGTACCGGCCGGCTGGCGCCGACACACCGCGTGCTCAGTACAGGTGCGGCAATTTCCGGGGCTGGGAGGGCTCGGCGCTGCCAGACTAGCTGCTGCTCGCGCGACGTGTCTCTAAGATGTTTCTAATTTGTCTCTAATGTCTCACCGTCGACACGAAACGTCTCGCTGTGCCATACTCTCAGGCTGATTGTGCGTTCAGCTCCATCGCATTGGACGCAAGGTGAACATAACGCATAAGATGAACAGGAAGCAAACACTTCCCCACAGACTGCCAGGTGTTCTTTTGATGTGACCCAGGTAGAGGCTACCGTTGGCGCGAGCTGCAGCTGGCGCAGCCAACATACGTGGTCTGACGCCAAGATTGATGACAAGGCAGACGTAGCAGGAGCGGCCCTCGCCCAGGTCAGTGAGTCCATCCCGTGGGGTGCGTTTGGTCGAACGCAAACGTGACATTATTTCACGCGTCAGCAAAGCCCCTATCGAAGTCAAGTCGGACGATTACATTACAAATTCATAAAAGGTTGGACTATTACAAGCTCATGGAAGATTTGCTACCCGACTTCACCCAGACAATTTTTGTAAAAAAAAATACGGCAGGCCCATGCTGCTGCCGCCCTATAAATTCACTTCGACAGGAAAGGGGTTTGGCGCTGGCAATAACGCTAACTTCAGTTGAGGCACGCATTTGTTTCGCTGAGGCAATCGGGCCTCTACGGCAGGGTTCTCGGACCAGCCTGCACCCCAACAACTGGAGTCCGCGTCTTTGACCAGTCGTATTCGGAGTAGGGGACCTCAAACTTGCAGCGGGCAAACACGATTTACCGGACACGACCACGAGGAATCTGTTCGTGACTCGAAGACAGCAGACACCGACGGCGTCACACTCCGATCTCCGCAGCCGTTGCGACCGTAGTGAGAATACGGCTCGCCCCGGAGTCCCTCAGTTCGCTATAACGTCTCCATGGCTGTTTTGACGACGGCGTCACGTATGGATTGTTTTAGGAAGTTTTAAACAATTCCTTTAAATAAAGTCCTAGGCGATGCCAAGCCGTGATGCCCAGCTTAGCTAACCCGTTTTCTGGACGATAGGTAGCAGGGCCGGACACCGTCGGCGAATCCGCAGTCGTGACCACATCGTGAACGGAATGCATTTATGCATCCCAGATCCACGGTCGGAATGTCCTGGCGTGCGTTTTCAAGAGTGACCCCCCTCGCCGCTGACCAGCCGGCCCCGCGGTCAAGCAGTCGACCGATGGCTGCTCTGAAACACACCCCGTCTTAGCAATGCACGCTTCTCTAATTCGGGCGTTGTGTGGGACGGGGATGGTGAATTACGAGCACCCATCACTTTTTCTAAATGCCAGCAAGAAATTTGAGGAAAAGAACATGACCTGAGGCCACTCGAAGCGCATGTACTCATACAAAATTTTCCGAAAAAAGTCGAATCGTTCTTCAACGTCACACAGTCCGCTTCCATGACAAACGACCGCCACAATAGCTTATCATGCGCTAAAGCATAACGGGGAAACGCTAGCTCAGACAAACGTATGAAGAAAAATGTCGGCGCGCGGGTGCTGTGAACAACCAAAATCCAAAATGCCAGAAAATATTTCGCAAGCTTGAATTAATCCACCATTGTCCACTGTGGCAAATAACAGGCTACGATCAAAACTTCCCACATGCGACTGCACAGATACGTGTGGCGTCTTCTTCGAGAAGGCATCTATAGTACCGACACCCACTCAGAACAGACAATCCCGACAACACAGCTTTATTACACATACCTGCAATCTGCCTCAATGCCAGGCTTAAACACGCCCATCCGAGCAGCAGCCACCCATCCGGTAGAAATTCATTGCACTGGGCAAACAACGGACAGCCAGCCCACGTCGCTCAGCGGCACGTGGGGGACCGAACATGGGGGTTTGGCGTGCCGTGAGGCTGGCGTACGACCAACACCGGCCGAAGCTCGGCCACCCCACCGTCTCAGCGCGCGCTAACCTCCACCGGGGTCCTTCGCGCAGGGGATCCCGGCGCTGCCGGCCGTTCGCCCGTTAAAACGCGTAATATCCAGCGCCGTGAGTCGGCGCAGCCCCGCCGTCATACGGCGAGGCGGCGGCCGCCGACAGGCCGGCGTGACGGGAGACAGCCGGTGGCGCCCCGGGGCGTGACCTGACCCAGCCCTCGCGCACGCACGGGCTCCGTCGCACCGGGACCGAGCGGCGGGGGCGGCGCATCCCCGCAGGGACCGCGGTTCATTACACGCGAACGAGACATGAGTAGCACGGTAAGCGCAGACACCGAACTGCCAGGCGACCATATGCAGTAACGCTAACAAAACAAACGCTTGCCAAACACGTCAGGAGGTGCGTCAAAGCCAACGAACACATGACACTCCGGGCCGTATTGGGAAACATATTAGTAAACGTGACAGGCCCACATAACACTTTACAGCAACAACAGATACTGGGAAATAGTCATCCACAACAGTTGTTTATGCCTACTCAGTTGCCCAAAATCACCATATCCAATGCTTTTGGCAGTCACCCGACCCAACCAGCTCCAGGGCCACTTACACGTGACCCCTTCCCCCCCCCGCCCCCCCCACCGCAACGCACCGGGAAGAAGGCGAGAAGGTCTGGAGACGGCAGTTCACAGCTCCAGATACAGCTCAGGCAGCGCCGCGGAGACGCCACGACCGCCCGCTTGGCGGCGCCACTGTCGTCACCCAGCGACATCTCATGCCAGCCCGGCGGGAGGTAACAAACAACAGGACGAAGCCTGGCAGGCCTACGAGGCGCCCCCAACTGGCGCACAGTACAGCCGGCGGAGCTCTCCGGCGTCAACACCAGATTACGTCACGAAGTCGAATGCGCATAGCGAGAGCGTTCTCACCACGTGCGTGGTAGACACGCCAGCGAGGGGACGCGTCAACTCATCGAGTGTAGTAGACCCGATAATAGAGCGTTTTGGAACGCCACAGGCTATAGGAGTTGTCGAATTTCAGCTGGTACACGCCCTGCAACGGAGACGAGGAGGCGTGAACGGCGCGGGGAGCCGTACGCGGCGATGCCAGGATACGCAGCGCCTGTCATCTGGTGGCGATGTGGCGCATTTGGCTTTCTACGAACGCAAGCCCACGTAAAGTCTGCCATGGCGGCTCAGTCGAAGCCTCTGCAGGGGTGAGACGTGCTGCTAGACGTGTGAAACAAGGACTACGATGCCCTGACATTGATCTCGCTTCAAAGCCCGTTAAGTACCACCAAAAACGGCATACAAACGACACAACGACGCCCGACAAAGTCAAAATCCTCGCGCGCGACAGGCCACCGTCACGAAGCAGAACACCCGCGTGTCGCCGACGCTGCCTCCCCTGCGGGCCGCACCGGACGCGGCTGCGAGCGAGGCGGCGCCCACCTGTCCGGGGTAGACGTGCGAGCCGGCGTACACCTCCTGGTGACAGTCGCGCCGGTACACGGGGATGACGCAGGCGGCCGGCTGCTGCTGCTCGCGGCCCCCCTGCGGCCCCCGCTCGGGGTCGTCGGCTGGCGGCGGGACGCGACACGGCGTCAGTGCCGGGCCAGGCCGGACCGACGGCCGCCGCCGGCCCAGCGGGAGGCGAACAACACACCGCGCACGCTGTCCTTGGCTGGGTTTCGGCTTGGGGTCGCTTTCTTGTTCGCTTGTTACTCAGCGCGTGCGTGGCATGTGTTACTGCATATACACAGCCTGTGCGTCGCACATGCCACGCATCTGCAAAGTGGCTTGCCCCGGTCCTTGTACGTTTAAAGCATGGACAAATGTATTTCACGAATTGCTCAGGGGCATGAGGCTGCTAAATAGTTTCTGGTCCTATCTTGCCTGCAGCGGGCAGACAATTTTGCAAAAAAGTTTCAGTACAAAATTCCTGAACAAAAAAGGAGAAAATGGACTCTTTCGCGCTTTGTCTCCGGCCGTAACACTACCGACTACAACGCTTTAATAGCGAAGCACCGCAACGTGGCACTCCTCCATCCAACTGGGCCAACGTTAAGAGCAAAATTTTGCAGAGTTATAGCGTCAAAAGAAGACGCTTCATAAAAAACATTACCAAAACTAACGAAGGAACTGGACCAGCTTACTACGCTTGTTCCAAAAATACCTTCTGCAGGCGTGCAGCCTGCCGAGACTTGAGTGTAAAATGGAGAGTTGTCACATATTCCCCTGATTCACCTCGTGCAACCATTTTTGTTTGACGTTTTCTCGGCACGCTGCGGCAATGCAACGGAGCCTTAACTAGGGCTAACTGAGGGACGGCGTCACCCAATGATAGCTTCGCTGCAGCAACGCCCTGGTCCACAGCGTTACGGAGGGAGACAGAGCGCAACAGCGATCACATTTCAGACGTTAGTGAGTGGCAGGGGCTAATGAACTACTTCGAGGAGCCAGAATTATTTGCAACGAAGAAAAATGAAGAAATTGGATGAAGAAAAAAATTCAATGAAGAAAAAAGTAAGACTCGTTCAATGAAGAAAAAATTAGACGATACTTTGTAGAAGGTAACCTCTTTTACACTGATTGCGATATAATGGATGCCTTAGGATGATGCATAACACACAGAAGCGTACGGTATACACGCTTGAAAAGTGATCGCGAAGTTATGCGACAATCGTTTCTACAATATGTCCACTACTGGGGAAAAGTATGCACCACAAAACTCAGATTTCTATACATTTCACTGCAGGGTACAAAGAGAACGCTAATACACTGATAGCACGCATGCGCTGAATGCTCTGCGACGGAGTGAAGCAGACCAGGTTCCCAACAGCCACACGCCACGTCCCTGTTCGGCTGACACCCCTAGGAAGAGAACTGCACCAAGTCCCATCCACGCATCAGGCGTGCCACCTCGCCCCGGCGGCTCACGCAGCACCAGGAGGCCGCCCGCCCACGCGCCCGTCCCCCCAGCGCTGCTCACCATTCTCCGGGTCGTCCTCCTCGTCCTCGCTCTCGCTGATGTGGATTGTCACCTCGTTGTCGTCGGACGGGCCCCACTCGAAGAACACGCCGAAGCCGATGTCGTAGCTGTCCGTGGCGAACTCCCAGAAGAGGCACGTGCCGTCCTCGTGGGTGGGCACGCGTATCTACGGGGCGGTGACACGGACGGCGGCCGTCACCATACGCTAGCCGCCGCCGCCGGTCGCGTTGGCGGTGCTCACAACGCCTGTGACGGCCTGGCAGAGCACCACACGATGGTGCTCTGCATTGCAGCGGTGTCACCGTTTCTTCTTGCCGAGCACTGTATGTTTTAGCTCGGACGGTGTCGAGCGACATCAGCCGCGATAGAAACAATACGGATATACATGATAACGCATCGTATTTTTACTCATATACTTCTTGAACTAAGAACATTAGGACCTACTCGTCCAGGCCCATAGCTCTGCATCCACTCAATGCGCGTCGATAACGGCGACGCGGGCGCCTGAGGCGCCATCGCACGGCGGAGGCCCACACCAGTAGTACCGCCGGGCGGCGTCAGGTTCGCTCACTGACCGTGACTGTCTCGCCGTGGCCGACCTTGAGGACAGCGTCGCCGCCCTCGGCGCGGATGGCGTTCTTGAACTCGGTCAGGTCCTTGCGGGTCCACATGCTGGCGGAGCCCACCTCGGGCACGGCCTCTGCGGCGGCCGAGCGAGCACAGTCAGTGCTCCGCATCAAGGCACACTGTACACGCCCTCCGACTTGACATGGTGGACGTTTCCGTTCAGTACGAACAACCCACTGCGACATGACGATACGTCAATGACGCTATCCCTCAGAGCAAAACACTCCTGAGAGCATGATACAAACAGGCAATCGATTATGAATGACAATTCTTACCTCAGCACTCAGCAGTGCAAGACATCTTAAGTGCAAAATGGCCAGGATCGGGGTATGGCGTACGTAAGAAGTCATTTCTTGACACTCACAAGGACGTCTAAACACTGCTCAAACTACTCTGACATCTTATATAACATTGCTGCACAACTTCGGCAGTTTTGCCAAAAGACCCCACAGCAGCCAGCACACGTCCCGTACGGCGGAGGACGGTCAGGTCGGTCAGGTCCGTCACGCCGTCCTCCCGTCCTCATCCGGGAGCGGCGCGCTCACCGTCGGCCGACTCCGTCTCCTCGCCGGCCGACTCGTCCAGCAGGCCGTCCGTCTCGCCCTCGGCCGCCGCCTCCAGCAGCGCCTCCGTCTCCCGGGTGGACATCCCGCCGCCGCCCGTGTCCGCCGCCGCCGCCGCCGCTGCGCACCGATCCGGCACGGACACTCAGGACACCGCTGCACGCGCGCTCAGGACACCGGCGGACACGTACTCAGGACACGGGCGCGCACGTGCTCAGGAAACCGGCGGACACGTACTCCGGACACCGGCTGACCCGTACTCGGGACACGGGCGCACACGTGCTCAGGACACCGGCGGACACGTACTCCGGACACCGGTGCACACGTGCTCAGGACACGGGCGGACGCATACTCAAGACACCAGCGGACGCGCACTCCTGACACCGGTGGACAAGCTTCGGACACGCCCAGGGCACTGACGGGCCCGGGTAGTAATGGCACCAGCCAGCACATATTACTCCGTACTGTGAAATGTTCGTGACGACACAAGTGCTCAACCCCGTGATTGCAGGCCAATGCATGCAGCCCCCACCGACATAAGGGAGGAAACTGGTGGCGACTGAAAACGCCCACAACTAATTCGGCCAAGATATTTACCACGGTTCGAAACAGCTGGAGGAAAAGCATGCAATGATGTCACAGAAATAATTTAACGAATCGAAAAGCTGGCAAAAAGCCGGCTATAAACTCCCCCAGAAGTCGAGCCATCCAGCCAAGGCACCAATTACTGCACCTTGTTAATTAATATAACACTAATTAAAGTAACGCATGGAGGTCACAAGACCAGCGCAGTCGACGCGCCATAAAGCCTGAATCATCATCATCCGTCATTATCATCGTCATCATCATCATCATCATTATCATCAATGTTCAAGTGTACAGGCCATTGTTATGGATGCATGTGTGAGCTTGCGAGTTAGCGCGCGTACACGCCGCATGCCTTTGCAGAGGCGAACCGACTGAGATGAATGCCACCCACAGAGCGGTGGCGTCCGTGCGAAAACTGCCACACACACACACAAACGCGTATGCGGAGTGTGCTACGCCGGAAACACAATGTCGCGTGAAGTGGAAATTGCCAGTTTCCATGCCTAATCCGTTCACTCCCTTGTCAAATTCTGTCTAGTCTTCAAATCTTAATTCCTTCATTCAGTAGGTTCCATCAACATCTTAACGTCATTATCATTTAAGTCGCCATTTCCGCTCCCACACAGCAATCCAGCAGACTCTCCAGACAGGCCACCATCAAAGACAATTATCCAGCCACGCACCTATCTGCACAGCTCTCCAACCGCACACCGGTATACTCCACGTCAATGGAGACTGCATCCACCCAACTCTCCGCCAGCCAGTCAGTTAACCAATCAGACACCACCCAGGCAGACTGTCAGCCAATCAGTCACCACCCAGGCAGACCGTCAGTCAATCAGTCACCACCCAGGCAGACCGTCAGCCAGTCGGTCACAACCCAGGCAGACCGCCAGCCAATCAGTCGCCACCCAAGCAGACCGTCAACCAATCAGTCACCACCCACGCAGACTGTCAGCCAATCAGATACTCGGCCAGTCTCGGCCAAGCCATCTCTGAAGCCAACGTCAGCGTCAAACAGCCAACCCACCGCCCGCAAGCGAGCACACACGGACGACGTACCGGCCGTGCTAGCTGTCGCGCTTGTCACCGTGCTGGCCGCCGTGCTGGTCGCCGCGCTGGTCGTCGCCCCGGCCGCTGGGACTGGCTCGGCCGGCGGCTGGTCGGCCGCGGCCGTCGGCTGCGACAGCCCGGCCGTCTGCTGCTGCAACTGCTGCTGGTACAGCTGCTGCATGTACTGCTGGTAGTGCTGCTCCTGCAGCTGGCCGATCAGCAGCGTTTGCTGGGCGCAGCGCGGCGCGTCAGCCACGAGCAGCGACAGCGCGCGCCTACAAGACGACGTGAGGCCCGTCGAACGAACAAGGTGAACATTACTACGACGCGCGCGATTACAACAGCGCGGGTTTCAATGTTTCAACGCCGCCCGCACGTCTCTCGCGCAACGGGTGCGTCTCACATCTGCCGACACGGGAGCAGCCGTTCGTCACGGGCAGGGCCAGACCTTGCCAGTGCCGCTGAGGGCGGGTGGGGGGCTTGCTAAGAGAGAAGGGCTGCCCGACATCGTCCGCCATCCGCGGAGAGACGACAGCGGTGACGCTCACCTGCTCAGGGCTGCCCGGGTACTGTTGCTCGGCGTACGCTCGGAACTGAGTGGCTGTCTGCTGGTTCAGCGCCTCCTTGATGTGCTTTCTGCGAGGAGAGAACGCTACTGCTAACACAGGAGCGGGGAATGACGCCTTGGTATGCGGTGTAGTCACGCACGTTGCCGATGGACAACCGAGGTATAGGGGCATACGGTCACGACGTACACAACGGCTCCCTTGAGGTGACAATGGCTCCGATGGAACATAACACGCAGCCCAGCTCTCACTGCGAAGGCTAGAAGGCGTCAACACATCTTAAGCCTCGCTGAGAACTCAAAACGACGCGGTGCGTCAAAAGAGCGCCGCGAAAAAGGCCGAGCCGGCTCCGCAAATGTGCCGTTCGCGTTCAGAGGAAGGAGCACGCGGCAACGTCCTCCGCCTGGCAACCGGAGCCCGGGCTCGGTGCCGGCGGGCTCGGTGCGGGCGGGCTCGGTGCCGGCGGGCTCGGTGCCGGCGAGATCGGTGCAGGCGGGCTCGGTGCCGGCGGGCTCGGTGCGGGCGGGCTCGGTGCCGGCGGGCTCGGTGCGGGCGGGCTCGGTGCGGCGGGCTCGGTGCGGGCGGGCTCGGTGCCGGCGGGATCGGTGCGGGCGGGATCGGTGCCGGCGGGCTCGGTGCGGCGGCTCGGTGCCGGCGGGCTCGGTGCGGGCGGGCTCGGTGCCGGCGGCTCGGTGCGGCGGGATCGGGCGGGCGGGATCGGTGCCGGCGGGCTCGGTGCGGGCGGATCGGTACCGGCGGGCCGGTGCCGGCGGGCTCGGTGCCGGCGGGCTCGGTGCCGGCGGGCTCGGTGCCGGCGGGCTCGGTGCAGGCGAGCTCGGTGCCGGCGGGCTCGGTGCAGGCGAGCTCGGTGCAGGCGAGCTCGGTGCCGGCGGGATCGGTGCCGGCGGGCTCGGTGCCGGCGGGCTCGGTGCAGGCGAGCTCGGTGCCGGCGGGCTCGTTGCAGGCGAGCTCGGTGCAGGCGGGCTCGGTGCAGGCGAGCTCGGTGCCGGCGGGATCGGTGCCGGCGGGCTCGGTGCCGGCGGGCTCGGTGCCGGCGGGATCGGTGCCGGCGGGCCCAGCGCTGAGACCGCCGGCGGTCGGCCGACCGAGGGGCATCGACCGTGGATTAGACACTCCTTGAGCGGCGGCGACAGGCCCGCCTGTCTGTCCCGTGATCAATACGGCCCGGTGAGGCCGCCGGCCGGCCGCGGCCGGGGATCAGCTGCCGCAGCGGCCATCAGCGCACGGCTCGCTAACCGCGAACCTCCGCTGGTGCCGAGCGGGCGGCGGCGGAGGACAGGCGGGGGAGGCGGCAGCAGCGGCCGGCGGGTGGCGCCCTGGGACGCCGGACCCGGCAGGAAGGAGACTTCAGCAGGTCAGCTGAACCCCGTGGCGTCAGCGTCCTCAGAGCCGGACGCCGGCTAAGCTCACCACACGCTCCGGGCCCGCCCAATAAACGAAAGACGAGAGACTGTAGGGGAGCATGCCTCAACGAATAGACGACACAGCGAACGGAAAAAAAATGCAAACGAACGAAGGAACACACGAACGAACGAACGAGCGATCAAGCAAACGAGCGAGAAAACGAACGAGGGCGCCCGGGCGGACGAACGAAAACGCAAGCAAACGGAGGGATAATCGAGGGCACGAGCGAGCGCGCGGACTGGCGATCGGACACGACCACACGGCCACCGACCGCCGCCGACCGGAGCGGCATGCGTGACAAGAGGACGTTGGGCCCCGGTCACACAAACCCCACGAACGCACCATGGGAGGCGCAAACAAACCCCACGCACCGTGGGAGGCAAAACAAATGGGGACGGCGGCCTCCTGATGATTCGCTTTGATTCATTACAGATGTGTTGCGTCTCTGGTGACAACAGGCGACGGGCCGATTATGCAACCAGACAAGGAACTGATGAAGCCAACGACGTCGAAAGCGCTTCCGCCAGTGGAGCCATTGGGGCAGTTAATAACCACAGAAGGACCAATAACCATAAGCCTCATAGTCTAATAAGTAGGTTAAAAAACAGGACAAAGTGGTCTTGTTTGGCTTTTGTCTTTGATCATAATGCCATGCTTCAGCCATGCCTCAATCCAATTAAGCACCAGTTTATAATCACCGACCATGCGGAGTAGCCTGGGGACCAGCGGCACAACCGCGCAAGCTGGGCACGCACCCAGACTGTTCCGTGCCGGACTCGGTTGTCTGGCAACGGACGCACGGCCCTGGGACCGCTCGCCACCCGTCTGACACACATCCGCAACAGCCGAACCGAGGCGTCGCGATGCGCCGGCACGCACGCCGCGCGCCGGCCGTGCCGTCGCCGGCCCTACGCTCTGGGTTCGGCGGCCAATATTGGTTCGGCGACACAGCGCTGATAGCTCGAGCCCGAGACCACATATGAAGCGTCCACCGATCGACCCCCGCCCCTCGCAAGCCCGATCGATGGGCGGCGGGCCGACAAAAACCGGCGTGCGTGCGTGCGGGAGCCGCGGGACGGGGCGCCGGGGCGCCGGGGCTCACCGGCCACCGGACCACGAACACGTCCGGCCCAGATCTGGGACAGAATTCGCCCGAGCGGTGCGCATCAGGGGCGTACAAATGCACGCTTAATGCGCCGGAACAAACCGCGCGCCCCCGACGGAGACAGGCCGCCCGCCGAGCGGCGTCGCGCGAGGCCGACAGCGCCGCTCACGGGGCTCGCGCCACCAACAGCGGCCGGGCAGCTGGGGACGCGGCGCAGCGACGCGCTCCTGTCCGGCGCCACGTGACACAGCAGCCGATCCGCCGGCGGCACGAGCGCGCCGCGCTGTCTCCCCCCTCCCCCCACCCGCGGTCACCGGAACGGAGAGCTCGCCACAAACGAGGGCCCCAGATGACGGCCGAGGTCTCACTGCACTTGGACCCGGAGCTGGCTGTCCGGCAGTCACGGCGGCAGCGCTGGCCGGTGGTCACCACCCCACTGTCGCCTCTACGCGACAGCTGCACGTGGCTGTCAACCGTCACGCGCGAAAGTCGGCCTGGTTAATGGCAGGTGATGTCAAGGGCGTCGTAACAGAATGCCTGCACTTTGGAATGGGTTCGCCAGTTATCGCGTTCTTACGTGAGACTTCTTTCGTTCGATCACCTCAAAGCGAGGGCCGATCAAACGTATCCGGGGAGGGGGTACAAATATGGTATTAAAGCCCTGGGAACCAAGCATCGCTGCAGACGTTCCGTCTTTTCATTGTATTTTTTGCTTTGCCTGACCTAGGCCACGCTGTCCCTCAGACCCACCAATGTTCTGAAGGAGCTTAAATTAATAGCAGCTTCCACCCTATCCACGGATCTGAACATTCTGATTAACATATTTGTGGGATGACAAGAAAATACCGTATATGGAACATAAATAAGACAGTATTAGCCTTATTCCTCGGAAAAACCAAGAGAATGGAGGTATAGTTAGGTTGACATTTCGACAACATGACTTTATCAAAACAACAGCAAAAGACTCAATCATTTCGGCAACATGTATTTCGATAAATACATGTTGCCGAAATATCCATCTAACTTTTCCGAGGAATAATGCTAATACTGCTGTCTTGTCTATATGAATGTTGTTCCTCGCTAATGCACTAAACAACTTATGTATGCATAAGACTACAGTCCTGCAGATTCCTCCGTTCAATTCATTCCAAAAATACACCCGAGACTAAACTCGATTAAAGACGCGCACATAACCAAACGGGAGCTGCGCCACATTTGCCTCGGTCGGGTTCCAGCACCGCCAACCTCAGACGGGCGAACCCCTCGATCACGTCTGCTGCACCCGCTCACCGGCACTGCCCGCGCTCCAGCCACCGCATGTACTGGAGCGGCTGGCATACGAGCCGCCCGCCTGCCCCCGACGACAGCCGACCACAGCGCCCCTGGCGGCCTGATCCCGCACAGCCCCATCCGGCGTCAGTTCACGCGAGACCCAGCTGGCGTACAGTTTATGTACACTCCAGCTGCTGGCCAGTCCATGTACATCTGCGCTGACCGATAGTTTGCACACACACTTATGCGACGGCCAATTGCTGCACCTTCTACCTGGCAGTCGGCGCTGGGCCATGCCAGCCATAGATTGCCAACCCCCCGCGGGGGAATACTTGTGGTGGACCGGCTGCTGAATGATGGTGTGCCCGTCCGACCAATGGGCAGACGGCGCACGCGACACGTCACGCTTCCGCTAAGTCTCGCTCCCGTTCTCAGGTGCGCCGTTGGCGACGTCAGCCATTGTAACAGGATATTTGTCGATCGTCCGAACCTTGCTCGGTTTGGGCTTGGCGAGGGCATTGCGAACCTCGGCTAGACGTGTCCAATGGAACCACCAGCACTCTCAATGAGGCTCGAAAATTGCTGATCCACGCAAAGGAGGATGGATCCAAAGATCCGCCCTCGTTCTCTACACGGATTATCATGGCCACAATCAGCAATGCTTATAACAGCAATCTACCTTCGGGAGCTGCCACCCACACCTCTGGTCGAGTCGCTGAGCCCTTCCAATATACTTTAGAGTTTTGTTGAATACCCCACGCCTCTGGTCGAGTCGCCGGACCCTTCCAATATACTATAGGATTTTGTTGAATACCCTGCGTGTTGATCAGTGTCTCCTGGTACAACAAAGCTGATTTCTCTGCGTGTGTATGTGTGATTGGGGCTTTACGACGCACTCAGCTGCTGAGGCTATATGACGTCGCCTGCCTCTCACCCTGGCAGGACGGGCGGGCACCGCGGGGAATCGAGCCCCGCACCTCTGGTTTCCCTGACGCGCAGTGGTTAATGCAGACGCGTTAACCACTACACTACCGGCACCCGAAGCTGCTTTCTCTCATCCTAAATTGTGTCCCGATAAAGGAGTACTTAGCATGATCAGGGTGCGCGACAGGCGCCGCTGCCGACCGAGCGGCGATGTGTTCGGGCAACTCCGATCGCAGCGCTCAGTGGCACCGTCTTCAAGACCACGCCTCGTCCGCCTGAGACGCCCCAGGTCGCGACGACCGAGGTCAGGGCGGAACGCGCACGGCCAGCCGGCACTCACTTGGTCTCCTCCTGGCGCCTGGTTTCCTCCTGCTCCTGCTGGAGCGCCATCTGCTCCAGCAGCTGGCGGCCCTGCTCCTGCTCCTGGCGCTCCGTCCGCCGCGCCGCCTCCCTGCCGGCCAACGGGCGCCGTTAGCGGACTGCGGCACATCGGAGCCGTCAGCGGACCGCGGCACATCGGCGCAGGACGCGTGAGCGCGGCGTCACTGGGGCACTGCCGCCGCACAGAGCGGCCGGCGGCGCACGTCTCGCCCGACGTCAGATGGGACGTGAGAGCTCACGCCGCCGCACGCGATACAAAAGCGGCTGGCTCGTCATAGAAGCGAAAGGAGTGGGAGCATGGCCGTGAGATGCTGGAGCAGATGGTGCTCCAGCAGGAGCATCTTTTTAAAGGTCGCCCGACGCACCTCTGGGACGGCGTTACGGCAATCAGCAGCCCCCCCCCCCCCCCCACGCCCTAACAGAATAACTCACAGGGAATGTTCCACATCCGAAGATATTGAAGCAAGCATCAGATATGATCGAGCAGACTCACTTACCAATAGTGGCATACTTTTTATGCGAAAAAGACCGCCCTAAACAGCACAATTCTGTTTCGTAATATACTCCTCAATGCATCATGGTTTTGAGAGCCAATTGATGGCCGTTATATCTGGAAATCGCGCTCACGAACGCCCGATATGAACGCCTCGAAAATTGTCTATTTTTTGTTTTGACTACCGCGTGACTTTGAAATGACAGAATTTGAATAACATCATTATGACGTCATGAATGCCAAGGTGACCTTGAAAGTCTCCCCACACCCTTCCCCATTTTCTTGAGCGCGTAGCTCAGAAACTAGACGAGGTTAGATCTTCAGAAGGGCAGTATTGTGAACAGCACCGAAATATTTTTAATATGGATACTTCAGTTCAGAATCCCATATAAACGTGGAACGCTCCCTTTAAAGTCAGGCAGGGGCTTGATTAATAAAACTCCTCTCAGAGCTGCGCACAGGCCGTATCCAAGTAACTCCCGAAGAACAAGACGCTACGCCGCCTCCTACGTTCACCCCATTTCCCCTTCCCAAGCAGCTCACATTTTCAGCTGCTTGGCTTCCATGTCAAACTTGTGTGCCTCCGCGTATGGCTTGAAGGTCGGACACAGCGAGTCCAGCAGGTCGACGTACTGGGTCATGGCCTGCTCCCTGCTCACGTCACCCAGCGCCTGCCACGCCTGCCTGAGGAGCGCACATCCAAGGTCACACTGAGCCCCAGCTGGAAGGCGCACGTCAGAGGCCACATTAAGCCCCGAGCGCCTGCCGGCCTGTCTGGGGAGCACACGCCAGGGGTCACACTGAGCCTAAGCGCCTTCCACGCCTGTCTGGGGAGCACACGTCAGAGGTCCCACTGAGCCCCTTGCTAGGGAGCGCACGTCAGCAGCCACGCTGAGCTCCCAGCGCCTGCCACGCCTGCCTGGGGAGCGACGTCAGAGGTCCCACTGAGCCCCCAGCTAGGGAGCAAGACACAAACTGGTTCTCAACACTACCAAGCCATTATAATTGTACACCCCACGGAGCTGCTAACACACTCAACGAAACCCGTGAAAGGACTCAAGCGGCGTGGCGAGCAAGACCATAACAGATATGCGAATTGCCGGTTGTCATCACGTAGATTATATAAAAAACTACGCTAACCAAGCTAGAAATCTTGACTAACCAGCACCACGGATTCAGTCAATACCTATGAAAATACCTTTAACGAGGACTTGTCGGGCGGCGTCAACCGATGTGGCATTCCGGTGCTAATTCGTGGACAACACGGCTTGCAAGCCGTCCGACGACAACCCCGGTCAGGTTTTGCAATTTTGTTGTCCATTTGCACTCGTCCACGAAATTGATTCATTTGCAATGATTTACGGTTTTGACGGTCGCGGGCCAAGTATTTCGTTGAATACGACAATTTTGGGTGAATATTGAGCACGGTAAACACGTATAGCCTTGAAGATCCAACCAATCAATATAAATAAGCCACGGGCCTTACATTCGAGGTGGGTTTCGGTGACACTGGCGGCTCTCCAGCTGACCACTGGCACACTTATGTGTACCGCAGTTTTGACATCGCTTATGCGTTGGGGTCGGTACATTCGCCAACACCATTCGGTGGCATATCTTTAGCTGCTCTGGTTGAAAGATATGACACCAATTCTTCAAAAAAAACGTCCATTAACGGACGGCTCCATTGTTGTACCCAATAGCGCGTGCTGATATGCAAACCTTGACCAACATTTTTTCCGGTACGATTGTCTGTTTGCTCGTATATCGATATCATCCCGTGTCGCTGCGAAGACGGCTCCTCGAAATCTGGACCAGGTTCCGACCCGTGTTCTCCAGCTTTTTCACAAACAGAAGCGGGCATCGGACCACACACATGCAATGGCACCAGCACAAACTTCCGTCAAGTTAATGGATCAATCATATAACATCCCTGCGCATTGTATCCATTACGTGCCAAGCCAACATACCATCTGACGACACATTCAATGACGTCACAGTAGCTCCGGCCAGGGTTTGATGACGTTGATGACGCTAGCATACATCCCCTAGCAACGGTTCTCTAATCATATCATTACTTCGGTGTGCCACCTGTCGCACTGAGTGATGTCACAACACGTCACAGTTGTGATCATGTCCTAATAACTGTTTATTCCATTATCAGTTGTTCTGCCCTTCCGGTCCGTGTCCGTTATTGCACTCTGTGCCGGCTAGGTGGCGGCGCCGCGCCTTCCGTCGCGTCTGCTGTGACGTCACCGTACCTTCTGTCGCGTCCGATGACGTCAAGAACACCGAGCGGCGGCAGATTCTCGGGCCGGCAGGGACCATGCGCCACCTGCTGAGTCAGCGCCACAAACTGAAGCTTGTTGTCGTACGTCTGCTGGATCACTTTGCCTTCCTTCTCTGAAAATTACCATTGGAAGCCTGTCTAGATGTATGTAAGACAGTAGCAAAAGCACTATTCCTCTAATAGCCTTATTCCTATTACTACCGTCTTATCTATGTGAATAATGTTCCTCGCAAGGGCAATTAACAACTTATTTATACAGATGTAGTTACATTGCGCAAATGTAACCCCACCTTTGTCTGGATATCCTCATATCATGGTACAAAAACCGTGAAGCGACACAACATCTCTAGCTAGCATAGCCACTGGCCAAGCATGACAAGGCAGAATCTGGTTAGGAAACTTCTTGCAATTGACGTGGACTTGACATATCCCTATTTGCACACAGACTGTGCTATCAGCAATGCTCACCTTTGTAAAACTTCGCTGCAAGCTGATAAAGATGCGGAAGTTGGAGTCCCCACTTTTCTGCAGTACCATTGCTGACATTGTCCTGTAGAGTCATGGAATGGACCGCTTGCACCGCTTCTTTGATGTCATCAGATGCCATAATTCCTCAATAGTGAGGGGCAGCTGAGACACACCTGTGGAGCAGCACACCCATGAGTCTCCCCCAGCACTTGACACACCTAGCTGCAAAGGGCACACCAGGGGTCACACCCCTCAGTGGATGGCTGCCCATGGGACGCCAGGGCGCCTTTCGTTTACAAACGTGCCATAGTTAAGGCATATATACTCGTAGGTTGAAATTCTCATTTCAGCAGGAAATTGGAACACACTGGCCTCAAACCCTCAAACTTCAACAACTTTAACTTTAAACTTGAGCCTCAAATCTTTACAGGACAACATGTCAGCATGTGCCATATCAACATAGTACAGAAAATGTGACAACACGAAATCAGGTGTGATGTCACAAGCAGCCTGAAAGGACCCGGTGATCTATCAGGGAGCATTAACTGAACTGAGAACACAATATTATGCTCTTGCCCTGAATTTCACTCTGGGTTCTGAGGGTTCTGCTTGGATGCCACAGGGACCTGGTGTGAGCAGGCTACTGGGACCAGGGACAGATATGCTCAGGCCAAGGAACTGTTCAAATAATCATTGAGCTGTTCACTGCCCCTAGCACATGTGTACATTAAATGGAATCAGCAGATGTCAATGTGCCCACTGTCACACTCGCCTCACTACAACTTTCATCCATGGTCTCTTGTACCTTATCAAGGTACTTGGCTGAAGCACCCACAGCTGCCAAGGCCAACAAATGTCATCTTCCAACCACTCTGAGCCCTTTAAACTACTTTGTAGCTGAAACCCCTGCTGTATAATGAGTTCACACACACAAAATTTTGAAAAAGGCTGTGCTTTATTAAGAAAATGTATATATATATATATATATATATATATATATATATATATATATATATATATATATATATATACATATATATAATGTAAACAAACACATATGAAACCATGGATATAAATATGAAAAACATGTGGGGTATGATCAGTGTGACATCCCGGACACACACACTGAAACAACAGAGTGAGTGGCCATTGCATAACAATAATGCTAGCACAGCTAATCCAAATGATGGCTCGTTCACCATGGATATTACAAATAAAGTTATACATACTTTGTTCCACCCAAAACAGAAAGATTATGTGAATTTAAAGCAGTATGATACAAGCAGAACATAAAACTGAGATCTTGAGAAAAAAATAGCCAGTTTCTGATAATACCAAGGATATTGGCAGTTTTAACTACTCTGCACACAATGACATCTACAAAATCCCCAGGCATTGAAGTATATCATGAAGGAAATCATGCATTTTACAGCCTGGTACCACATACAGTGAATGCATACCAGGCATCATACTGACTCAACCCAGCATTACCCATTGTCAGGGGTCCCGGATGTAGTTTGCTCTCTGGCAGGGAGAGAGGGCAATGGGCAGGGGGGCTTCAACCCCAGGGAAACTTTAAGAACTGGGTGAAATGCAGAAAGAACCCAGTTTCCATCATTTAGGTAGGCTAAGCCACTTTTTATTACCCAGCCCTAGAACTTATTTGGTGAAAATACATCCCCACTCAATGTGTTGCAATGCTTGCAGCCATAGTGATCCTTTCCAGTCACATTAGGTCCTACCAGGCAAGGTGAATACCACCCACAGTGGGAAATCCACATCATGATCAATCAAATCACATCCAAATTATGAATGACACCCTACAACATGGCACAGCTTGCAAGAAAAAATACACCACATGCTTCCGCACCACGTCCTAGCGCATGCCAGCATTTTGACTGTCTTTATGACATTTTGTGAATTTCTCCACACTTGCATTAAAAAGCTTGCAGAAAATAATAGGGCCTCTAAGAATGTGAACATTAGGTCCACCATGAGACACAGGTACAGCCAGGTAAGACGAATTCCTCCCTGACAAACAAATTTGCAGAGTAAACACTCTAGAATGGCCTGTTGTTACCACCTGACATTATGCCTGACATTTAGATGATGAATGGAAATAGCACAAGAGGATGGTCAGAATAAACTTAGCAAATGCTGCCTACAAAGTTTGATCTGATGAATAAGGCATTCAAATGGTTAAGTAGCCTGTCAAATCAAGTTGGGACAGTGACATTCTGCAAAAAAAACTATCAAAACTTATCATTACTCAAAACACTGGCCTTCAAAATTCTGCAATTGATGTCAATAAAGCAAAATATCGCTCATAGCTCTTGCATTTAGGTGCATGCTTTGCAATTTTTGAGGGCGTGTTACCGCTACCCTGGACATGCAGAGCGTGGCTTGTATTTTTAGTCTGGTCTGCCGTCGCATTGCAACGCCTCCAATGCTTCACCGGTTCGGCCGCCCACGGGCGCAGCCGGCTTCAATAGCGTAACCGCATCACAAAACGGATAAAACTACATTATGGCCCTTTCCCACCACCACCTTGGTTACATTTATCACACTTTCCTACCCGCGCACCACCGACCTCACCCCGCTCGCCCACAAACCGGAGCCTCCGATGTTTTTAAGCGACTTTTAGTGATTTGCCACGTTGACTTCCCTATTTGTTTGCCTTTCCTTAGTGCTGCTCAATGTGACGCAGAAGAAGTGGACGATACAGTTCAGCTACCATATCTAGCCATGGTGGAAAATTTGGGGCACAGAAACTGTCCGGAGTACCATTTGCTCTACATGAGAATTCGCCCTTAATTCGCCCAAATACAACTGTTTCAGAAAGGAGTGGGAAGACAGTATGGTATGAGGAGGCAACCATCACCCACCGACTTTTCGAAATCGAGTACCACCCACGGCGCTCCATGTGAAGAAATGCAGTAAGTCCAATTTCTTTTAGAGACAGAACATAAGTCTTTTTACGGCAGGTGCCATGATGGAGTGACGAGTGTGGACGCGCAATAACGCCACACTGGCAAAAGAGTCTCGCGATGTAGGTCGACAAAGCGTCCAGAATCATTCGTCAGTGCAAAAAAAATCTGCACAATCCTTAAAAACGTAGCAATGACAAAACAGTGGGATCCACAGCTTTATAATATAGTTTCAGCGGGCGCAGACGTACAATTAGAGTACAGTGACCAATAAGCCACACGACGTAACACATACGTTCCACACGCTCGCCACCGTGTTACAATCATGTGCCACGCAGAACATCGCTATCACAGTAACGCGCCATAATCCCGCATAGCTTTCGCCAAACGGACGAATGATGACATCACATACATCACGGGGGCGCACCACACTCAAAACGGTCCTCCTTCCCGCGGACACATACAGCCGTACTGCACTGCACTGCGCGACCGTGCGGACGACACGTGCGCAACGTGAACGCGTGCGCATCGCAACCAACTGATGCGCACATTACATTGCACGTGGTAAAGGAATGACGAGCCTTGTGTCATTCCGTGCATGCTATTCAGGAATCACAAATTGTCCTGAGGTTTGGTCTAGACCAAGAGCGCGCACTGAGGCACCTGATGCAAACCAACAAGCTTAAGCAATCACTTCGAAAATCATCCGTCGAACAGCAGCACGCACACCGCATTTTAAAATATACATCTGGTGCCGACGAAAACCCTTGACAACATCCCTGTCCCACGGGTACTCGGGATACAAGAATTCTGACATCCCAGTCTATGTCAGCTTGCCTCTCACAAACGCTCAACGCCGTGTGTGAAGAGCACTAATCGCACGCATTTCCCACTGTCGCCGCCCTGGAAGGGATGCTTATCAACGACTGACGGCGTGGGGAGCATAAGAGCAGTGTTTTGACACTATGCCCAATTCTAAATATATCTAGCATCTCCTAGAGGCACTCAGTTGACTGGGTCAGCTTTCAATGACTTCAGGAAGTCCCCAATCTTGTCCTTGTCCTTAGGGTCGATCGCCTTCTGTTTGGCGTCAGTGTACACGGCGAAGAGACGGCGATTCTTTTCATCAACGTGCATTGTCGCCATCTGGTGAGAGGATCTGAAACAACCACGGGCGGAAATGGCTGAAGACTGGAACGAGAGGAAACGGCGCCAGACAGCAGATCAAATGTAAATGGTAATGCTGGTAATGCTCAGGGAAATGGCATGTAATAATGGGAACATTTTATGAATACTGACACCAGTCATTTACTGATGGTGAACACAAACCCCACGAAGTACAAGTTCGCGCCACCCCGTAGCGTAAGCGACATGAGTTGTACAGCTTTTAAAACCCAGACAAGCAGGAAGCAGAACACACGTGCCATGCATGCATCCACACATGCGTCTCCATACACGTGTCATAAATGCTAAATTGATAGCAAAGGCCAGCGGGCAAGGTAGGATGAAAAACAAGCCCAGCCGCCGTTTATTTTAACGTTTTTTCTCTACCCTTTCCAACGACACAGTACGCTATGACCGACGACCTGGTAGTACGTTGGGAAAGTGTGTTAGGCGTGCTGACCGACTTATCATTAACTGTAAGCTCACACAACTAGAACTTGCCATTTGTGCGTTGGTCTCTTTTATACAATGATCTGAGAAGTCGAGTAAGTGACCTGATGTGTCCCATACATTACGACGATATCATAGCTTTGGTGTAATGCTGATATTATAGTATCCAAACAACCAATGCACTGCCAGAAACCACCCACAACGTGACAGAAGCGAAAACAAAGACTTAGCTGTCTCTAGAAGCAGACAGCCCTCAAGCTTTCATTACTGACCTAACTTGGCAGTGTCACGGTGCTGTACAACTGATCACGAATAGTACACCACACAAATTAGCGCACAAACAACAAACATGATAGACGTAAGACAGGGACGCGAGGACTGGCCGCCTCTAGCAGCAGTATCAAACCTTCCCTTCTGACGTCAAATTCCGTTGACCTAATTTATCACGGCGGGTTCAGATCGCCTAAAGCATTGCAGTCGGTACATTCCATCACGCCGAATAGCTAGTTTCTGGTTTTTGCCTATTCCGGTTGCCCATACCTGTTACCATCCCTTAAAAATAAAAATAGCCGGACCCATGATCTGCGCACGACTGAGCGTGACTCGCTCACATTTCAACCAATCACGTTCTCCGTATTCCGTCGGTCGGTATGACTTGGTGGCTGCGGTGGTCACTGACAGCACGTGGATAAAATGAGAGGGAACGCCGCGGAGAAAGCTGTCTTAAGATGACGAGCAAAGCGTCCGATGGGAGAATTTCGCCAAATCTGCTATCTCAACCGGAAAATCGGAGCTCTTCAGGACGAACTTAAAAACTTCACTTTGCAATCACCAAAAACACACCAATAAAAGTGCGTTTAAGTTTGGACATGACTGGGTCAATCTCCAGCTTTCATCACGCCGAGCCATAACAATGCCCAACGAACGCGTCATGCCCACATGGGAGCACCCTCCATAGCACCATTCGACAGAACGGGTGCCCTTACAGTCCTGTTTTTGAAAGTGCTTTGCACATCGTTTCTGGCCACGTAGGTTTTTCATTAAGCCGGTGCTTTACTGTACAACTACTCTTCCCGGTAAATATTCCGCTGGAATACCGCCGGCTTCAACGACGGCAACCACAAACAGGCGACACCAATCGAACCCTGAACGTTCCGATGCGCCCCAGCTGACCAGTGCGTGAGCAACAACAGACGGCATCACTGGCACACTCACCTGATCGCCAGCACGTGCAGGATGATCCCGAGCGCCATGAACAACACGCAAATGAAGGCGATGGGTCCGTTCGACTGGCGCTTCAGGCCCCTAATGCCGTAATACGGTTTGTTTTCAAACTTTTCATCGCCGGCCCGGTAACGCATGCCGAATATGCTCTCGTCCCAGAATCTGGAGAAGGAAGATGGTGAGCATAAGTCGCAAAACGTACAATGACTATATCTCCTAAATGCAAGCAGAAAGATGACAAATACATCTTCAAACCAGGCCGAGTTTGACGTCATTGGGGTTTTACGACGCACCTAGCTACTGAGGCTATATGGCGTACCTCTCGAGGCTATCGAGCCCTGTGCCACCGGTTTTCCATACGCGTAGAGGTCAGGCAAAGTTTCTTGCCGTGATGATAAAACGCTGTAGACACAACCGAGGACCATTGGACGAGAACTGCCCGGCTTCACAGCAGGAATAGCACGCACTACGTTATCGGATCACTACAGAAACCGCACACACTTTTGCGTCAAAACACAGCACGGCCGCTGGGCGTGAGAATCAAGGCGTTCGTCAGGGCCTTCGCGGCCGCGCTCACATTCTGTCGTGGGTCGCCGTGGTGTCGACGTCGCCGTGGCGACGCCAGACGCGGCCGTCTGGAGGCGCCACCGTCGGCGGCCGCAGCAGGCTGGCGTCGTACAGCGCTCGCGACTGCCGCCGACTCAGCGTCTGGTAGGCGTCGTTGAGCCGCACGAACTCGCTGTGGCTACCGGGGGAGACGTCCGGGTGCACCTGGTGGCGGTCGGCAGAGGATGGTGTGAGGCGAGGGACGCGCGCCGAACGCGCCGCGCGCGGCCGGACGCGGCTCGCATGCTGGCTTTGGGGGATATCCTTGAACTGGCCTGGCAGTCCAGCATTTTGAATCTTCTGAGCCACATCATCAGTCACAGTCAAGTAACATGACCATATTTGCTTGTTGGAAACTTTCTGAAGCTATGTTTGCAGCTTCAGCATGTACTTCTAGAATGATGTTATCTGAATGAAACAGTGCATTACAGACTGTGATCAAGCCAGGGCACATTCAACATATAATAGAACTGGCAAGGAAAGTGACTGGGTATCAGCAGATTTCACATGTTTAACTGTGATAAGACCTTATTTTCAAACAAGACACACACAGTCAAACAAGGAAGGAGTTTTACTATACCAAACCTTCTTTGATAACACCATGTATGCCTCTCTTATTTCCTTGGTTGAACATGTGTTTGGAAGTCCAAGAACTTGGTAATGATTCTTGCTCTCATGCCTGCAAAGACCACATGTAATGTTGAAAATTCCAAGAATCTTATCCCAAAAGTTGACAATGCAATTTACAGAGCATCATGTTATTTTTCCTCCTGTGGGGACAAAGGACTTATGGAAATTGCAGGCTTCAGGGAAATCAGAAACACTGTAAAGAAACAATGTGTTCAACATTAATTTTAAATTGAACTGTAAAAGGCACAAGTGCAGACCAAAAGACATGAACAATACACAATACATGAGTATACCAAATGAAGTTCAACCACAGGGTTATCTATTTGAGTTATAGACTTTTGTAATTAGCCTTAACAGTAGGGGTTCAAAGTAATATCTTACCTAATAGTTTGGAGCAGACATAATCTACCTTTGAGGAGACTGCTACAGTGCCCAATCCTGCCAATGCAGTCCATACCAATGTCTTGAGATATTTCACCTTCTGTAAATCATGGATGACAACAATTATTGATGACAAACTTATTAACATGACATATTTGCTGGATGGCTTTAATGCAAAAATACATAATCAGGTGAGATCTATTGGGGTAGATGCATGATGCAATGTTAAACATAGTATACATACTAATAATTCACATTTAAGCATCCCAATCACCATAGGGATA